TCTAGAGAGCAAGCACCCCATGAGGTCATAAAGTATGGTTGGAAAGGTGTTTAACTGTTCAGTTCTTTTCAGGATGATTGTGAAGCAGAAAGGCAACAGTTGATTTGCATGTATTGGGTAATAATGAAATGCCAGGATCAGGGAGAAGGTAACAGACGAGTAGAAACCTGGGATCCCATCAATATATGGTGGGCCCTAAATAATTTTCAGATCAAGTCTGTAAGTTGTTTAATTGGTGAATTAAACATCCATACCTTTCTGGTAATCGGAAGAGAATAAATTTGCTTGCTTCCTTCCTTGTTTTGGATTTTGTAATCAATAAATTAACATAATGAAATACAATTAATTTCCCTGCATTCTAAAAATGTATTATGAATGTTTTCCAACCATTCAGATATTTAAATAATGATAGAGACGTAATTCAGACTATTTCAGAGTATGTTTGCCAGTTGGTATCCTGTTCACTGTTATACCCAAATGGCTGAAATGTACAGTCTAGAGGATTTTAAAACATAAGACAAACTGGTCAGGGTTAAATAACATCAAGCAGATATTTTGGAAAAGTAAAATAAGAAATTATATTGTAACTGAAAAAGGTATGAATCTAAATTCGTATTAGTCTGTTTCTGTTCGTTAAAAATATAAACAGTCTTCTAGTTTTAGTGTTTAACTGTGGTTTTTTTTTTAAATTTAAACTTTGAATGTTGAGGTTGTGTTTTTTTCCTCCCAGAAATTGTCAGAGATTTTGAAAACCTGAAAAGAAAATTTAACCCTTCCATGAAGAGGTAGTATCTTGAAGAAATACTGTGGTGATGTGAGACTTGTGACAAGTGTCAGGAGAGTTAGCAGTCTCGTATGTGTAAGAAACTGATTTCCACTTTCAATTTTTTAACTTCTGTCTTTTTTCTTTTTTTTAAACTACTTTTTAATACTGACAGTAACTACTAAGTATCATATACTTTAAAGCAATACAAATTTCAGACAGCCTTCAGCAATGAAAAGAAGCTAACAAATTTCAACTATTACAGGTATAAAAAAGTGGTTAGACATAACATCTTTCTCCTTTCTCTCCTCCCTCTGTCATATTCAGATAAACATCTTTAGTAAAGTCCTATTAAGTAGTAGCAGGAGTAGTAGTTAGCAAAGATTACTATATATGTTTATATGTATCTATCTAGACAAATGAAACAGTGCATTTGATCTATAGTATCCACCATCTCCATCCATCTGTAAAACAGAGACGCAACTTAATTCCTTGGAAAATATTTTCTGAAAATTCATGCCTGTACTATTTAAGCTATACAAAAGAAAGGCATTAAAAATGTAATGTGTAAATATGCTGCTTACACAGCTGTACATTACAACATACTGTATTTCTATATGCTCACATGATCTGTGACATGTTGGCTTGCTGACTGAGCTGCCTGAAAATGTGTTGATGCAAATTCAGAAAGAAAAACAACTGAAAGGCTTGGGAGGCAACAAAATTAAAACAACTTAAAATTATCTCAATTAAAAAAAAAGTAGCTGTTAGCAAAGCTCTAGCTAATTCCTTAGTGCTGACTGGTGTGGGTGGGTGTGTTCCTTGGAAACTTTTAAGCAGAACTCTCAAATCTTGCCCTGGCAGAATGCAAGGGAATAGATGATCTCTCATATGCTGGTCCACCTCCACCATCTCTGACTCGCATGTAAAAAGGCTGAAAGAGAAATATTGAAAATCACTTTCTACAGTGTTTCCATGGCAGGTCTTGGAGTTAGATACCTACTGTGTATCTCCAAAACAAAAAACATATAGGAACTGACTAATCAACATGTCACACTCAACCTTCTGTTCTACTCGCACTTGTAGAAATGTCGCAAGACAAATATTCTTGCCACAAAAAGCTTAAGAGCTAGACATAAACAAAAGGGAGCAGACACAAAGACACGAAACAGTGAAGGCATTAGCACAGTTTTGCTGCACAGGCAGTTTCTCCAGGCTTTTCTGGGATACCGTTTCCAAAAGAGTTACTGTGTCACAGCCAGCATGATAAAAACACAGTGCGACTTCCTTGAAAACTTAGTAAGGGGAGATGGAAATATGTAACCTGGATCAGTTTAGGTAGGAGAGAATAGTATGAAGACTAATGACACAGTCAAAGCATCATGCTAAGATTTTTTTTTCCTGTAGCTTCCTGAATGAATATGAGTGGAAAGATTGCATTTGTCAAGACATGATATGGAAGAGCTCAGTTAAAAAGCTTAGTTGTATAGAAGGAATTACTGCAGCTTAAAAACATTATGCATAAAGAGCCGGGAAGATTTAAATATAGCCTAAGTGCAATAATACAGCTGAAAATAGTGCCCAGGTGACAGGCATGAATGACACTTTGGAAGATAATTTGCACAATTATTGAGAAATGAGATTGCAGGAGACATTGGGTGGCTCTAACAGTTTGAGTAACAACTTATAACTGGATGCACAGAAGGAGACACAAGCTAATAATTTAGGGTACAGGGAGATAGGTTGAACAGAGAAAAGACTTGTCAGTTTTCATTAGGGAGCTTGTACACATTTGCAGCTGAGATTAACCTAATTCAGAAATAAGGCTGACAGGAAAAGAAGAAGAGATCAGAAACTTCTTTCAGATTTACCTCCTTCAAACCATATCAGAAATCCCTGGCTGTTTCCATGCTAGAGAGGTGAAAGGATGAGTATAAAAAACAAGTATCGGTGAAGATATCGAGCGAAGGAACAGGGTTGGCAGTATCTGAAATGGATACAGACAGAGTATAAGCTTCAGATTTTAGTATGTTAGTTGAAATTTTGGTAAGGTGTTCACTGTGGTTGACATCTGTACTGACTGAAACAGGGTCTCAAACAACTGAAAAAGAGACACCCAGACACCTCTTTTGTGTCTGGAGAGAAACAAATCGCTGTCATTGGAGGAGAAGCCCAACAGAAAAAGGAAGAATATTTTTATACAGCAGAGACAAAAGTAGCTTGTTTCTCTTCTTCAGTAGTAGAACCCTCTATAAGCTAGTTGTATATTGATAACTAATCATTGATAACTAATATAGATCCATAAAACACTGGGGGTGGATCCAAGTTTTATTATTGAAAAAATATTTCACATATGTTTAAGCATCATTGTTTGTATTGTTGCTTTGAGGTATAGTTTGTGGATGCATAAATCAAATGTACTTAAAAGAGGTAGTGTGGCTAAAAGGAAACCAGGCAAGTCTTTAATGCAGTCTGACTACTTCTGACTAGTGTATTGGTTAAAGGACTGATCTGTCACAATTAAGGTCCGCAATCTGGCTGCAGTGTTTGAAAATGTTGTTAAAAATGGAAGGCAATTCATAAAAACAGCCTAAAACCAAGTCGTTTAAGTAGTAGTTTCACTTGGTGCATGCTGTGAGAGCATGGTGTGAATTTAGTGTCGTCAAAACAAAGGTATAATTACTCACTTCTTTGTTAGCTGTATAGAATACAGTGACTAAAGGCTGTGACCAAAATTTGTTGACTTGTTTATGCCTGAGAATTCTGTCCTTCTTGAGGAGATGAAAAAGGGATATCTGAAAGATGCACCTGAGCTCCCAGCTGCCCTTCAGCCAGTTTTTAGCAAGCTACATGCCAGTCCTCAGTCTTGAATGCAGAGAGCTTGTTCTGTAACGGAGCAAAAATGAGCTTGCAGAGATACTAGTTTTACATGGAAAAGTAGATGTGAAAAAAATGAGGTCAAAGGTGGATTTTCTGCTTGTAGGATCCATTTGTTTGTGGTTTGGGGGAGTTTTCTAGATAATACCATCAGTGCCAATGATAGTTGCATGTGTCAGTGAGCAAAGAGACTCCAGTGGAAGTGGCACCTTCAAATTCTGATGTTTAATTTCTAGAACTAATTACAAACTAATAGCAAGGGGACTCAGATTATGAGAAATTTGCTCAAGCACTTGTGGAACAGGCATTCTACGTCGTAAAATCTAAGGGAGCCTTTAGGTGCTACCAAAGTTCGCAAGGGCAAGAATGAAATCTCCAGAACATGTGATATCTTGGTTTATGATGCAGAGCAATGCATCTTATGCTGTCACAGCTGTCTTGTCTTTAATACTGTTTCTTGTTGCTTCATCCTTTGTGCTGGACATTTAAAAATAAAACAAATAAAAAGCATCTAGATGAATTAAACTCATAGGAAGATGGAACGTTTAAGGTTACATTTCAATAGATATTAGACCCAAAAGTCAGTAGTGTGTTCAGGATCAGTACTACCATTGGTAAAGAAAATGTGTTTCCAATTAAATTACTTTTGCCTATGCAACGTGTGTGTTCTTTTAGCAATGTCCTTGAATAACCATTTCTTAACTAAAATGACACAATTCTGTAGCCAGTGATCCATGACTTTAAATATTTGGAAGGGCTATTGATTCACTGAACTGGAAGAAATGAAAGATGTTGAGGCATATTTTCAAAAATAGATTTGCATTTATTATGAACTATATTTGATCATGTATATTCCTTTTGGTATTTAAATCAATAAAACAGGTGCACCTAATCCAGCGTTCGATTTGTCTGTAATAGACTCCACTGAGCATCAGTGGCCTTGTTTAAATCAGCTCCATGTTCTCTTTTAAAGAGAGCTGCTCGCACCTACAGCAGCTCCTCTTGTTCCCATGTCGTAGTTCTTTGCATGTACCTATTTCTGTTTGTGTTAGTCATTCTCTCTAGGTAAATTGTCCATAAGACCAATGATTCCATCAGCAAATTATCCAGAAAATGCCGTCAGTGCACACGGTGACATTTGTGCCACTGGTGGCTTTGTTGCTCTTTCAGCGGTCTAATTAAATTGGCAGGAATCTCCTGTGCCCAGCGTTGTTGTCTCCCTTTCTCTGGCACCTTGGTTCAGACCTTCTCCTTTTCTCCATCCTTTTAACTGAATATCAAATGCATTATTGATTGCTCCGCTTCCACCCCGCTCACTTCCACTCCCCTCAACTTTCTCCCATCTTTTTGTGATTGGCAGTATCACCCAGACAAGCAGAGCGCCGACGTGGCAGCGGGAGCAGTGCAGGAGCGCGTGCGGAGGTTCATCGAAATTGATCAAGCGTGGAAAATTCTAGGCAACGAGGAGACAAAAAAAGAGTATGACCTGCAGCAGCGCGGTAGGTTCCTGCCAGGGAGGCTGCCGCCGCCGCGGCGGCCCTTCAAAGCGGGCTCTGGGCGCACGAGTTAGATGGTGGTTTAAAAGGCGGTTTCTGGCCAAACCAAACGCTGCTTTTGCTCACGTCCCACTTTCAAATGTGGATGCATTATTTAGAGCTTTTGCTGCACATACATTACTTAGTGAGCACGTTGAACTACTTCCCACAAAATATTAGGTGGTATTTCTATTAATTTTAATGAATATGAGTTAGACCAATTACAGAGTTTATTCTCTTTTACTATATTAAAGCAGCTTCATTAAGTGCTCTCATTTTCTTAAATTTAAGTCCTACGTTGTATTTTGTTGCAGTGTTTTAGATAGAGGTATTATGTAGTTTATACCTCTTGTTCAGTACATGAGGGTTTATAAGCACTTCGGAATCATTAAAGCAGATTCTTTCTGTGTCTGTGTGTCAGGGTAGCCTTCATAATTCATGTGTAATCTAAAGTCGCCTTTTTAAAGCAGGTTTATAAATAATATTTCAATATAACACATTAACCAGGCAGCTCTAGCCTGCCTTTCTTTTTATACCTCTCAGAAAATAGCTTCTTAAAACAGTGACAGGCTGTTGTGAGAAAGAAAGGGGGGAAATGTAGGTCAGGTCTGTCACACATGGACTACCATTACATGAAGTGATAGGCTGTCTTTCTGCTCTGGCCTCGGGATAGGAGTCCCTCAGCCTTCCATTAGAACCTTCAATAAATGTATATCCACCCTACATGTTAATGGGGGGAGTCAATAATAGTGTATTGCCTGTGGGGAAAACACTCAGTCGCACTCTGCAGTAACACACTCGGGTCCAGCATTGACGTGTAGCCACCACCACTTTTGAATGTGTCTGATAAAAGCCCACTGTCTCTGCAGCTTGTTATTGAATTCGCTGCCATTGTACATTGGCACACCATCAGCCCTTCCTCTCTTGTGCTGGTTTTTAACTCCTCTGCTGCTGCGGATACCAGGGCTTCGCGAGACAAAGGTTCAGTCATTCTAGCAGATACGCAGCGCTGCGCGATGAAAAGGAGGGTATAGAGCTGTATATACCCAGGCAGAATTCTCCAGTTAAACAATCTTGTATTTCAGCCTTTGTGACAGGTTTGGAAAAGAAGGTGGGGGAAAGAGAATTACTGAACATTTTTTTTTCCCCAATTTTTAAAAATGTAAGGGATTTGATGTTAATTTCTTTTCTTGAATGTAAACAGAACATCATATGATAATTAGGATGCTGATTATCATGATGAATTATCATTTCAAGCTTACTGGAAAAAAAAAGATTTAATGGCAGAACAGGGAGTCAGGGATATCTGCTCCCCTCTCATTTTGTTGTACTCTTTGCTTTGCAAAGCAAAGCATAAAACGTGTCATCCATTTTCACAAACTACATGTAAGCAGGAAAAATGAAATATTTCATTGAATACTTCATTCAAGTCCTTCACAGATGTAGGGAAATTTACCTGAAGTTCAAAAACTGAAGATGACGTGTTCATTTTCTCAGGTCAACTTTATCCATCGAGGTCCAGAAAACTGCATCAAGAATTAATAACCTACTTTGTTTTCCCATGCTATTAAAGAATCTTACTATAACTTAGTTTCAATTGAATTTATTCTGTGTTATTTTAGTGAGATGCTTTTGCATTCAAGTGATTTCTCCTAAACAGCCATCTCAAGACTGCAAAAATACTTAGTAAAAAAGGGAAAATAAATAGTACATTTGAATGCTGCTTTGAAAATGCACTGCATATTTGGAAGATGGGATATATGTTCATGTAGAAGGTCCTGTTCATAGAGGGCCCAGTGTTTTAAACCAAGCAAAACATGTAACATGTTTGTGCAGTGTTGCTGCATTCTTTGCGGCAGCCGAATGATGATGAAATAAAGTCAACTCGAGTTGTCTGCCTGCTGTCAAGTTACTTCTGAAATCACAATTCCAGACAAATGCATCGGCGCTGCTGTAAACGCTCACAGAAACAAAGGAACCAAGACAGTGGCTAAGGGGAACGGGGCAGAAAATAGAGCACAGAGCAACATTTTTCAAGCTAGGAAGCAGGAATCTGAATGATGCCAGTGTGCACACGTGTATGGCAGCCAGTCAGGAAGGCGGCCTTTGAACTGTGGTCTTTTTTCCATTGCACAGATTTGCTTGTTTGTCTGTATGTCATTGCATGAAGTCATGTTTAATTCCTCAGCAAAGAAATTAGTGGCCAAAGAAGGGCTCCATGGCCTTTTTTTCTTTTTTTTTTTTCCCTGAATCATTGGGAATAACAATATCCTCTCATCTTAAATAATCTCTGAAGCTCTGCTACTAAGACCAAGCTCAAACTGCAATAGAGCAAGGTCTGCAATAGACCAAGCTCAAACTGATTAGAGGTTTGGGTCAGGTGCTTATCCAAACCTTGCTGGAAACTTTAAAATAATTGCTTTTTTAGGGGGGATGTTTTGTGGATGTTTTTTTATAACTCCTTGTTTTGCCACGTTGGTCATGACATAAGAGTAGTCTTTCATCTTGTGCTTCCAGTCTCTGTGAAAAATTTAGGGGAGAGGCAAAAAGCTGGATCACAGTTTACCTGCAGTAAAGGGGTGTTTTTCTTCAAATGATTTGCAGCTTAAGGAATTTCCATTTTTCATTCAGTTTCCCGTTTAGAAAAAATGAATATGCAGTATAATAATTAACAAATGCTTTTCAATGAGTTTAGCTCTCATAGGCTTTGATTTATATTTTTAGCATCAGAAGTTATCTGGGGCCTAAAAGTGTGATTTTGTTGCATATAAAAGAATAAACAATTAGGTTTAGTTAGGATGGAAATTTCATCTCCATTAGAAGACTTGTTCAGACTGTGTCCAGTCAAATCTTAAATATCTCCGCAGATGCAGCCTGCACAGCTGCTCTGGACAGTCTGTTTCAATTCTTCAGTTTAAAAATGTTTTCCTTAGCCAGTCAGGATTTCCCTTTTGGCAACTCGTGCCTTTTGCCTCTTATCCCTCTACTTTGTGTCTCACAAATCTTCTCTATTCCCTGCTGTTAGGTAGCTGTGAACAAGAATGTCCCCTGAACAAGCAAAGGGTCCTCAGCATCTCCCTCTATGGCAGGTGCCCCAGCCCTGACCGTGTTGATAACCCACTTGCTCCAGGATGGGCAGGCCAAAACTGGACACAGAATTGGTTTTCTCCAGGATCTCACCCACTTGCTCCAGGATGGGCAGGCCAAAACTGGACACAGAATTGGTTTTCTCCAGGATCTCTCTTTTTATATGTGATGATGGACACAGGTATCCATAAGGCACCAGCATTTGAAAGTAATCAATGGGTATTTTCCTATTTGAGCACAGGCCTCCTGTTGACTTTCAATTTTTTAATTTTATTCTTAGGAAATCAATAGGGTGAAGTTTTCATATATGAACACATTTCTTTTTTTTTTTTAGCATTATTTTCCCTTTTGGTCTTGCTTCACTTGTACATTACAACTTGTAGTTCTTGTTACCTAATTGGAATTTCCAATGTTTTGGCCTGTAAAATGCTTTTAGTAGCTAGCAGAAATATCAATTGAGCACCTTGACTACCGTATTAGAAAAAAAAAGTAGAATTCAGAATATTTTAGTTCCTTGCAAATTCTTTATTCTGTATTCTTTACAAATACTTCAAAACTAAAATAAAGCTTTGAGTGTGGCTCTGAAGTGACAGAAGGGTATGTCTGTCTCTAACGAGGCATTTTACAGTTATAGACCCTCAGCTAATGATGGACCACCTGCCACAACTTGGTGAGTTTAGTTTATAAGATTTATGTTAAGAGAATTCTTAACACAGAGTTTCTTTACAATTTTGAATAAAAGCAAGCAAGATTATTTTAAATTATGTAAAATGTTCAAAAAACTTAAGTATTTAAAAAATAAATACCTTATTGGGAAAGTTAAATTTCATACTCGGATTCTGAGTACTGTGATCAATGATTTTGTCTAATCTTTTTGAGACAGAGTTGATACGTCAAACTGAATTTGTTCTGGCCATGTGTATCTTGGAGTTTTTTTTTCATGACTTCTGTTTAAAGAAAAAATGATCCAAGAATAGTATAAAGAGCTAAAGAATCTTGTCATGACTTCTTACTATTATCATAAACTGTTAAAAGGGTTAAATTTCCATTTACTGCTTGCACCTCCCCGCTTAAAACTCAGCCCTAAATAGCCCAAGAAATATTTATTGTATCCTCAAGTGAAGCTTAAATACCTTTCCTCTTTTTACAATTTCTGAATGACCCAGCAAGAGCTCTAGTAAAGCTTTACTGAACCAAGCTGCTAATAGTTATTTAATGTTGTTCTGTAGGCTGAAAGAATCTCGGTAGATTTTTTTTCCTTTTAATCTCTTTGAATTGCAGGCTCATAAACCTCTCTGATGAGCTTGCCAGTGTTTTCTTAGATCCTGCAGTTGAGACAATGGAGCTGCAGAATCCTTTCACCTCTTGTTGTCAGACAAAGATTGCAAGGCCAGGCAGGCTGTACTTCTTGTGAGCTTAATTTTGTTTTTTGGGTTATGATAGGCAATCAGGACTTCATGGTTTTCTGTATCTGCTCAGGAATATGTTTCAGAATAGTTCAATTCCACACAGAGTTTTACAGCTCGAGCTCACGTCACATTGCAGGAAGCACCTCAAGCATAACAATCCCAGGCTTGGGAAAAATCCCGGAAGCCCTTCCCTTCTGCAACGGAATAAATATCAGACACCAGTTTACTTAAGGCAATCGTTAACCACACATGGCTGTAAGATGCATGATAATAACAATGTCGATGAAATAATGAAGATCACAAGAAACGGAGCAACTCACGCACGCTGTGAAAACCGTTTGTAGTCTTGCTTGTAATTTCCCCAAACTCGTATCAGGCCCAGCCTCTTGGGTTTAAATAACTGGCTGTCAAATAATTGGCTGAAAGTCTATTTGTGCTGTCTTTAAGGCAGTTTAGATTGGTTAGTGTTTTAGAGAGCTAAAGTAAACTAGCTCTGCTCATCGCTGGAAAATGAATTTCTCCGGCTTCATGATTGTGAATGCAGTGTGAGTAGTGGGTTGTGTGTTATGCTTGTAGACTTATTCCAAAGACAACATATTAATTAAAAATTAACTTTTTTAGGATAACCAGTGAACTCTTTCAGGAATTTTCGCTCTTGAGTTTTTTAATGACAATTGCAGCAATGAATTAGAAAAACTTAGTTGAAATGGTGTTCACTGGGCTTTATCCTGCGCTGTATTTGCAGTATGAGAGATGGTAGTTCCTCTGCTGCTTCCCTCATTACTCTGACAGTAACTTTACCACAGTAAGTGGTAACCTTATGAATTTGTATCTCGCCACTTTATGTTACTTCTTCATGGCACCACGTAGTCCACCTGCCCCAGACCTCCATCTTTAATCCTGAAAAATTTGTTCTGAAATCCTAAACGATGAGTCTGAAATAATTACATAGAAATCTGACCTATTTATTTTTTGCCACCTGTAAATGAAACTGAGAAACCACCATCCTTCCTACAATCACTTTTCTTTGCATTTTTTTCTTTCTGCTATTCAAAACAATCAGCAAAATAAGAAGAACTTGTGCTTTTCACACTATTCTCACAGTCTTAGTGGAGCAGTGGAGAAAAGAATCTGAAAGTAGACCTCAGCAATTTGATTTCTACTTTTTTTTCTTCACAAGAAAGAGGAGGAGCAATCTCTCCTTTCAGCGTAAGGCCTGCTGGAGGAAAAGCCTCTGGCAATGCTTGTGGATGCTTTCAAAGCATTCACACAATCCCTGTTCTTATGTTTCATGGCTAGAAGCTGAAAGTGCTATTAAAACAACCTCATTTCAGGTAACAAGAGTATACTCGGCATGAGTTAAGATGATCTAACATCTTGTTTTGGACAAGTTAGGCAGTTAATCAGTGTTCTGCTGAGGTGTCTCTGGTGAGCAGAGTGATGCTGTCACTTTGTATAACCACAACTCAAACACTGCTCATAGCTCTGTTTATGTAACTGACCGATGGATAGGTGTCTTCCAGGTGTCCTTCATCATTACTCTCTTGCTGTCACCCCCTTTTCCTCCAGCTTTCTTTGACAGCAATAAGTATTAGGTGTGAATGGGCTAATTTTCTTTTAATCCCGACCATTTTACCAAAGAGTTCAGCAAAACGTAAAAGGCGCTTTATCAATCCTCTCATTATTTCCCATGTGTCTGATTTGTTTTAATCCTATTCATTACACAAATTTAGGTGAAGCACCTTCCCAAAGTATTCAGAACCTCATTTATTTTTTCATCGAGTGCTCAATAGGCACTTCTAGAATGGAACATACACAACAGTACAGCTTGTAGGAGGCTTGATGTTATTAAACTAGAATACTCACTGACAACTCACTGATCAGGTGAAGGAACACCTATTTTCTTGTTAACATCCTCGTTTGAACCTGAAATAAGGGCTAAGCTATTGAGTCTTGCCAAATCAAAAACATTTCTGTGTATATGATAAGGATCAGCTTCTCTTAATGATAAGGAATATACTGTCTGTGGAGCTGGAGCTTCCATATGAAGTTTTGTGTAATAAATTCAAGTTTCTAGATCCTTTTTTGGATATTACCTTCTATTGCGGCAGTTGGAGTTTTGTTGAGCAGAGTCTTGCACTGTCAATTTGCGTAGCAACTGAGTGCATCAAATGTGAGAACGCTGATAAACAAGTTCCTGCTTTCCCAAACTGGTGCCTGGAAATGTATTGCACGCTTTATGCTTAATTTCCTACTGCAGTTCAGCTCATGTTGAAATAACGTAGGAGACGATACAGCAACAGAGCTCAATCTATGTTAACTCCTACTCTAAAACTGCTTCTGAGTATCTTTTTGTCAGTGCGGGAATGCTCGTGTTCTTGTCACAGGCACCGCTAATAGGGATTTGGTGCTTATACAAGGTTCTAATTTGGCTTCTCCTTTCAAAAGCACAAGTAAGCAGAGGCTCACAATTTCAGCTGTGTGGCTCCAGCCAGGCTTTTGAAAGGTATTTCAATTCCCAAATGAAAATTGGACCAGATTTCATTGTCAAGTTGGGGGATCAGCAAGAATGAATAGATATCAGAGATGTCTTTCTTACAGTAATATATCTTCAGCATTTACTTTCCTGGGTATAGAAACACATCCCGAGGCATATGAAGAGATACTATACTTTTAGCGAACTACAGTTTTAATGCTATGACTCTCTAGTAGGACCAAAAGAGAAGAAATAAGGACCTGTATGTCATTAGAACTGAACATTTGTCACACTTTTCTTTGCAGAAGATAATCTGACAAAAGAATGGCCACTGCATGCACAGGTTTATCTTAAGGATATGTCCTGGGATGAAGGTATGAGTGACTCACTTCATGTTCTCGGTGCCTTTCAGTGTCATTAAAAATTCTTTTTTTTTTTTTTTGTGCTTTATACCTGTTTCCTGTATCATCTTCTGTTTTTATGACTACTAATTATTATTAGCTTTCTCTTTGAAGTTAGTTCCCTCTCCTTCACTTTCTAAAAAAAATGTTTTTCTTATTTAGCTATTCTGTTGCCTATTACTATCTGCTGCTTTTCCTGTTCTGTTAGTTCCTGTCAATCACATACTTTCAAGTCTATTGAAATGTTTCACTAGCACTGTGCAGTTGGAATTGGCACTAAACTGGCTGTGCTTTTATTGTGCATTTGTTCTTCAGCTCATTTCTTTGTTATGCTTGGATATTGAGAGCTCACAGGACATTCTTTTCACGTAGCTGTCTTCCTGTAACATAAGTGATTTTTTAGATACCTGGTTTCTTTCTGAATCTCTCATGTATCTTTCTGTGCATTTTCTGTCATATATAAGATACAAGTATCCTTATACCTATAAGAACATATTTTCCCTTTTAACAGTATTTTACTTTTTCCATTTATTTTACTCTAGCTTTTATTATTTGACTGACTTTTAGATGGCAGTTACTGATTTCTTCTTTCCTACCCTTCTCCCCCCCCATCTGGGTGGCAAGAAGCTAACTTCTGTCCTTTCTTCTGTTAGATGCTTCTTCCCTATGGTAGCCTATTTTAGAACCATCTGTGAGCTGACATCTGTATGACTAACACCTCTCCCCACCCCCTTATTTTGTTCTTAATTGCTTTTCTGATCTCTTTAAAGTTCTTGGTATGTTCTGAGAATCAAGTCTCATTCAGAAATCTTCAGGAGCTTAGTCTTTTTAACATATGGCTGTTTAACTGCTGTGCACCTTCTTAGTATTTGCTCTTTTAAAAGAAAAGGCTTCACTGACCCGGTGTGCTTGGCCTAAAGACATCTCAGCCCTAAAACACACTTCAAGAGCAAGATATATGTTGAGCAACAAATGAAACCTAGGAACTGATTTCCCCCATCCAGCAAGGGGAGGTCATACATACAAATTAGGTTATTAGCAAATAGGTGAATAGTCGAAAATATTGTTTTGTCTTTGTTTGTTTTGCAAGTATTAAAGCATTTTTTCCTCTCTTTCGTGACAGATGAACAATGTTACACTCTTCCATGCCGATGTGGTGGAAGCTATACCATCTCCGAGAGTGAAACCAAAGAGGTGGCTTTGGTTTGTTGTGACACATGTTCTCTTGTGATAGAGATTCTCCAGTGATTGTTGCAGTCAAGCACATTAAATGTTAAACTTTTTAAAAACACTGGACTGGACACAGACAGTGGACAAAAAGGGGACAGCATCTGCTAAGAAATATGTTGAAGAAAAGGAGGGCACTGCAAGAACAAGTTCACTGAGGCTTAAAAAAATATGCTTAAGTGCTAACAAAAGTCTGCAGATATGAAGCTTGTTTTTTCTTCCTTTAATAAAGAGTTATTTATTAAATAAAGTCCACAAGTCAACTTTAAGTTCCGTTCAGCAGAAATGCATCTTCTGCTGTAAATGCCACTTCCTTCCCAGGTAAGAATGGACTACTACGTGCAATTCTAGTCTCTATCAGCTGCAGGTTGAATACCACCTCCTAAATTAAATAGTTGTTACAGCTCATTAATAAATTCTACTGAAAAATCATATATGGGAGAATAGTTTGAAGACAGTGAAGAATAAGGCACATAAATGCAAAACAAACTTTTTTTTTTTGACTTCTGTGCTATATCTGTGACTTACCCTACATTGATTCCTCGTAAGGAGGGATTTCAGTCTTGGAAAGAGGTGGCAGAGAACTGCAGGGGAAGGAGGCTGGCTCTGTCAGTACCAAATAGCATGTGCATGTCCGTGCACCGGGCGAGTGAGAGGCAGCTGCATTCATCTTTAAGCTGGAAGCAGCAGGATGCTTCTGAACTGAATATCCCAACGCACCTCCATTACCTAGACAACTGCAAGCTTGATTCCCTAAGATCAAGGAAGCAGGAAGCTGTGCTTTCGCCCCTCAAGGTATGCAGGTCCAGGACCAAACCAGAGCTAGTAGTAGGGGAAACATACAAAATCCATATAAATATATTTAAGGATATCAGATCCTGAGTCTGACTGTTAATCTCCAGGAACTGTTTTGGTGCCCTTTGCTAACATAGGCATTGCTGGTGTGTGGCTCTTGAGGTACAGCAGTATTCACTCTGCATTCTCTCTCCTCCATCACTTATTAACCTCATCTTATAGTAAGAACTAAAACTTTCTAATAAATGCAAGCATTTTCTGTGAATAGCCAGAGGAAACAAAATAAAAGACATACCATTTCAGATGGTGATGATGATGGCAATATATCATTGCAACTTTTACATCAGATGTAATCTCAGGACAAAAGAGACGACCTCTGTCAGGTAATACTTGTATTTATTCTAAACAAAAATAGTTCCATTGATTTAGTAGAAAGTAGTATGAAAGCTGGTAATAATAAATAGTTATTTAATCGTCAAGAAATCTATGGCCATTAGGACTTGCACGTAGAAATCCAAAATCATTCAGAGGCCATATCTGTAAAATAAATTACAGCAACAAGTAAGAGATTTTAATCACAACTCAAAGTTCATTATTATTAATCCTTATTAAGTACTTTCCATAAACTGCATCTCTTTTTAATTCTTTGCTTAGCAGTGTAGCAAAAGGATAGAAACTTTTCTTACTTGTGTATTTCCTTTACTAAAGATCATATATGCTAGAAGGAATCATCATCTCCATGTTGGTGCGTGACATTAGTAACTACAGGCCGGTGAGCCTCACCTCCATTCCCGGGAAAGTGATGGAGCAGCTCATCCTGGCTGCTCTCTCCAGACACATGGAGCAGAAGAAGGTGCTCAGGAGCATCCAGCATGGATTCACCAAGGGGAAATCCTGCTTGACTAACCTGATCACCTTCTACGAAGGAATATCTAGCTGGATAGATGAGGGCAGAGCGGTGGATGTCATCTATCTGGATTTGAGCAAGGCTTTTGACACTGTCCCTCACAGCATCCTCCTGGGCAAGCTCCAAAGGTGTGGGATAGATGTGTGGACGGGGAGGCGGATTAGGAATTGGCTCGATGGCAGGGCGCAGAGAGTGGTTGTCAATGGTGCGGAGTCCAGCTGGAGGCCTGTACTTAGTGGTGTCCCCCAGGGGTCAGTTCTCGGTCCGGTCCTGTTCAACTTATTCATTAACGACCTGGATGAAGGGCTGGAGTGCTCCCTCAGCAAGTTTGCCGACGATACCAAACTGGGAGGAGTAGCTGATAGCCCTGAGGGCTGTGCTGCCATCCAGAGGGACCTGGACAGACTGGAGGACTGGGCGGCGAGAAACCTCATGAGGTTCAACAGGGGCAAGTGCAGGGTCCTGCACTTGGGGAGGAATAACCCTGGACACCAGTACAGATTAGGAGTGGACCTGCTGGAGAGCAGCCCCGCAGAGAGGGACCTGGGTGTCATGGTGGACGACAAGTTGACCATGAGGCAGCAGTGTGCCCTGGTGGCCAAGAAGGCCAACGGGATCCTGGGGTGCATTAAGAAAAGCGTCTCCAGCAGGTCGAGGGAAGTGATCATCCCCCTCTACTCAGCCCTGGTGAGGCCACATCTGGAGTACTGTGTCCAGTTCTGGGCTCCCCAGTACAAGAGGGATGTGGAGCTGCTGGAGAGAGTCCAGCACAGGGCTACCAGGATGATCAGGGGCCTGGAACATCTGCCCTATGAGCAGAGGCTGAGAGAGCTGGGTCTGTTCAGCCTAGAGAAGAGGAGGCTGAGGGGGGACCTGATGAGCGTGTATAAATACCTCAAGGGAGGCAGTGAGGAGGAGGGGGGCGGCCTCTTTTCAGTGGTGAGCAGGGATAGGACTAGAGGAAATGGCTTCAAACTGAAGCATCGGAAGTTCCACAGGAACTTAAGGAAGCATTTCTTCACTGTGAGGGTRACAAAGCACTGGAACAGGCTGCCCAGAGAGGTTGTGGAGTCTCCTTCTTTGGAGATCTTTAAAACCCGCTTGGATGCAGCCCTGTGCCACGTGCTCTAGGTGACCCTGCGTGAGCAGGGGGGTTGGACTCGATGACCTCTGAGGTCCCTCCCAACCTTCGGCATTCTATGATTCTATGATTCTATGATTAATTTACATAGAGCATGCCTCACTGTGGAGAACTTACCAAATAAAGATATTTTCTTCTCAAGGCTGGAAGAAAATACATTGTTAGAAAGTATCTTTTTAACCCTCTATTTTCCAGCTTGTGAAGTTTATAGGAGTTCAAGAGGCGAAGTATAGGTTTTGATACATAAACATGTACAGGCACCAGCATCAGAAAGATGCCAACTGTTAAGGAAATTTTTTTCTCCAACAGTTAGTTGACTGTATTATGAAGCTATATATACATTGCTGATTACTCCTCAAGAATACTTTCTTCTGAGCACCCACTGGTGAAACGTGCATATGTCTTGGATGAGAACAAAAGTAGAAGGGAATCAAGGAGTCTTTTACTCTTTGTCCCGTCTCCCTTGACTGCCTATATCTTTTCATTACAGGTTCTCTCATAGCTGGCATGGGGGGGCTCAGCAGCAATAGGAGAAAGAGATGATTTTGAAGAATAAAGCTCCTTCTGTGGCTCTAATCCCATGGAAATCTCAGAATCCCCACTCAAGATGGAGAGCTAGACAGAGAAAGGTTTGTTCCTAAAGCACTTGTTAGAACATATATCTTGCTCCTTTTTTCCCCCCTTACAATTTGATATTTAGGAAAATATACAGAGTCACCTTCCAGAAATAGCAAATTCTTCTTCCACAAAGTTTACAAGAGCTGCAGCCTTTACAGTATTCTGTGGGGAGTGCAAAAGCATTTTCCTGAGCTTGCAAACAGCAGCCCAGTGCTAGGCTTTGGGATTTCAATCACTATGAGTTATCCATCTCCTAGTAGCAAAGCTAGTGACAGGCTGAGGCAGTTCTGAAGGATGGGAGACACAGGAGCAAGACTTGCATTAAGTTACCTTAGACAGGGACAACACACTGCTAGAGGCTGCCTTGACTTGCCTCCCCACCCAGGCCCTTGCAGCACTGGGGTAAATTGCCATCAGAAGGATTTTGCCTGGCCCTGAAATCAGCTGGACAAGTGATGAATCCCAGGACCTCAAGCTCTGCAGATCTAAAAATTTCTATTGCTTAAAGATCTTTCAAAATATGTGCCTTTTAGAAGAGAGCATGAGTGGCTGCTGCTGATGTACATAAATGCCCAAAGGTAAAGACAGAGAGACCAGATTCCTGTTAGCCACCGAGCTATCTGAAGTTCCCCAGAGAAGGAATCTAGGCCTATGGAACAGTAACAGGGATGCCCATATCCAGCTAGCAGTAAAGTTGCAGTAATCAAGTTTTTCCAGCAAGGGCCAATACTGGCTCTAGGTTGAGTGTCAGGTCTTTCTTTGGTCTCAAAGGCAACCACGAGTGAAAAAGGAAAACAGGAATGCCCATGTTACAGGCTGATGGACATAGCCTGGAGGAGCTTTTCAAGCTATTCCCTATGGCACAAACCTCACCTGAGGCAGCTTTAAACTTAACACCTTTTGACTTTGTTTCAGTAAAATTAATAAAACTTGCCATAAATGCTGTTTCGATTATTTGGTTTCAAATGCAAAGTAGGTTTAGTGTTAGATTTAAAAGGAAAATCTTTTAACTAGTCTACATACATGAAAGAATCCAAGAAGTAATTCTTATGGGGTACAGGAGACAGAACAAGCATTCCACGTGAAACAAAGACATGCCACAGGGTATAATAATTCCCAAGTCTTTTAAAGTTATGACAGAAGTTGAGTCTGACTTGTTGGTTCAAACTGGCTAGTCCAATTAGTGGCTGTTTCCCCTTGCCCTCTTCATCTTGCCTATGTAGATTTGATCTGATGGATGGGGGATAAAAGGGGCTAACTAGCTCTTTTGAAGATACTCTGCAGCTTTATTTCTGACTCAAAGCCTATGTCCAGGAAATGTATTGGACATCTTATCTAGGACAGCATGAAGCATCAGTACTGTGGAAGGGGACTCCCCTTAATGGGAACATTTTACAGCATCTTTCTCTGATTTCATTTTTTTTTTTTTTTTTTAAATTAAAAACAGAATAGACTTGCTTCTCACAGAGCAGCAGTTGGTATGTTAGCAGGGAAGAAAATGGGCAAAAATAAATCCATTTGCCACTACTTCACTCTCAGGTAAGAACGTGATACACCAGCATTACCTGAGAGTTTTAGGCCCAAGTTCCCAGATAAGCTGAGAGCAGACCTCTCTTTTTTGCCAAGAATAGGCTGCCTACAAAAGCTTGGTATAAGCTCAGTCTTTGTTGCAAACCATTACTTCCCTACTATGGTGGCATCATTCTCACAAGGACAGCTTTCTGCCCCCATTACTAGAAAAGTAATTTAACATTCAAAGGTATTATTGCATTTTTCTTCAAAAGCTGCTGTAAGATGAAACCAAGTAAGCTCAAATTCTCAAGGTAGTTAGATTTTTCATTGAAAGCCAGACCTCTTGAAGAAGAAACTATATTAAAAAGCAGTATAAGGTTTTGGCCAGCAGTCTACTAATTAACTACTACCACATGGGCATCCTGCTGCCTTTCACTGTAGTGTTCAGGAGGAACCTGCACTAAGATCAATGTATTTTGATCTGAATAACCCACTAATGCAAACTGTAAGTGCATTTGAAGAGTAAAATAGTTTTTGCTTCTATTAAGCACCATATACTTAAAGTGCTAATAACCATTGTCATATACACAACAAAAATGCTACAAAATTTGCATACAAGTATTTTGGTAAGTATCAATGGATAGTTATTATGTTTTAAAGAAGGCAACACTGCAGTCCTCAGTAGATAATTTTACAGAGCATACTATGTGCTGTAGAATGGAGTCTTCCAGTCAGTCACTTAACTAATGCATCTCAAGCATCTTTTTCTTGGGTACAATCTAGACAGTTTTATTTCTGTGGAGGGATCCTGTGAGTAATTATGGCTGTCCACAGGCATAATTTATTAATTTATCAATTAATCACTAATCGTCTCCTTAAAGGAATAAATACCAGTTTTTCCTTTACAGGCACATCAGTTGGATGTTTTTCAGATGGATGATTCACACCAGATTTTACACAAAAAACTATCAGGACATTAATATCATTTGTATTTTAGCAGTTAAAAATTAGGTCACAAAAATAGACCACTTGAGAATCAACTTTTTTTTTTTTGCTCTGGTACATGGTAAGGCAAACAACCAAAAGAAGGAACAGGGAACACTCAATACACACTAGGGAAGAACTCAAAGCAAATGTTTTAATAATCCATAAAGAACAGAGGTCAAACAGAGCTGGGGGGCAAAGGGGGACATGTTATTTCAGGTTTAGTTAGCAATTAGTGATTGTGGTCAGGAGTTTTCAAAAACCTTGCAACTACTAAGTTCTGTCCATGAAAAAACAAAGAACATTAGATCTTTCCAATTTAACTGTTTTGTATACTTACTCTTCTCTATACATATAATAGAGCTGTGCTAAACTATATTTTTTTGTTGTTTTGAAGTGTATGACAGTTTTTAAAACCTTTTTCATCATTCTGAATGATAGCATTTTTATGCTAGCTTTCAGAAGCTGGTACATAAGCCAGCTTCTGAAAGCTGGCTTTCAGAATAAGGGGACTGTAACCCCTTATTTCTTATATTAAGCTTTTTTTGAGAGGAAAATGTCTTTTTGATAATGACTAAATAGTGTAGATACAAACTGAAAGAAATCTAGGGAGTAAAAAAGACACGGGATGGTTAAGGGAAACTGAAAGAGTGAAAATGTATACAATTCAATTTCAATGCAAGCAAACAGATTTTATTATGGTGGTATAAATTTGACTGCAGCTAGGTGTGTTTTGCAGATTTATTATGAGAGGCAGTAAGACTCTGCATGCATCAATTACGTATGCAAGTCTTGCAAAGCTGACCTTTTCCTCCATTTGTTTATATTTCTCCAATTAGAACATCAGCAAGATATAAAACAGAGAAAGAATCAAATTAAGGACTGAATGTCTTTGTCATGCAGTTAAAGGGGAAAGGGAGTGCGGACACAAACCTGTAGTTACATATGTTTGTACCAGGTTTGGATTTCCATTCTAACTGATTGATTTCTTTTAAGTGGCAGTAATACTTAAAGAATGCTCTTCAAGAAAATTAAGCCTCCCTCAAAAACACATTGTTGAATTTTGCTTTTACAGCAAGTGTCTGGTCTTCAAGCTTTCATTCACATTTATTTTTGTCAGACTGTTAATGAGGTAAGTTTTAAAGCCTCACACACAGACATTACAAAAAAGTGGTAACGTAGCTGTATTTAAATGCTAGAAATATACCTTAAAACAAATGCGTCCTCTTATCAGTCCATAAGGAACAGGTCCATAACACCTAGAGTCTGTAGAATTCCTGAGATTATCGCCTTCTAACCAAACATGTCCTTTAGGCACCTGTAATTAAGCAAAAACAAATAGAAGTATAAAGAGAACATACCGTATAAGTCTTTCTATAAGGGAAATTAAGACTCATTTGCCTTAAGATATAATTTCTGCAATCTATATTTCATTACTATATAACAAACTTATTTTATGGACTGTAAAGCACAGGACTAGATTGGGAGAGGGATACAGAAGTATCTGTTCTATCATGTGCTCAAAAAACAATCGTTTGCAACAAAAAAACTCAAAATGAAGATATAAGAGGTTAGGCCAGTGTGACAGGGTCATTAATTTAATAGACTTCAAAAGAGGTCATTAGGATGTTGACTGAAAATCTGCCCTCCTGTCGCAGTAACAGCATGAACAGGGCAGCCACACACTCATCAACATCCTGGGGCCAGCACCACGGCTAGACCTGTTAGTAGATTCATGATGAACTAACTGGTAATTGATTGTGACACCAATTACGAATAATCTCATCATTTTATCGGAGTAGGCTTGTCAAACTTCTAATTAAGATCACAGTTCATTCTATGTGCAGGCAGAATCCACAACACATTATATTGCAATAATGATGATCACAAAACAGCAAATCCCTTTTTATAATTTGAAAATTAATGACGGTGACCTTACACTATATGACAAAGACTCTTCACTGCCTATGTATTTTATGCATTAACTATATTACATACCGTGGATTCATGGCATTCACTGACCAACTCTATGACAGGATGAGAAATAGCAAGATAGCTGTATTAGCTACCTAAGAGTACAGAGCTTTCATACATGAAACAGTTCATATATTTTGCCACTACTATATATCCAAGCAAAATTTCTGCTTGCAACATATAAAACTGCTTGAGTACTTAAAAATCAGCTTCAGAAACCTTCAACAAATTACCAGTACTAAATTTTCCAATCCACTTCTAAATTTTAAATCCTGCTGAAATTATACCAAGATATTCTCAACCTAGAGAATATTTAGTATGGTCTTAAACATAAGATACATTTTCAGTTACATAATCTTTTCTAGAGACTTCACTAAGACCAGAGCTCAGAGTAAAAATACAGAAACATAAGCTAGTATTTGCTTTTTCACATGGGTCGTGTTTAATTTCTATTTATCAGACAATAACAAAAAAAAATCCCAATTTCCAAAGGAACTCTGAGCAGTATATACATCTATGTTTCAGAAACAAGCCATACAAGCTTACTAATACAATGCACAATTCCAGGCTAAATGGAAAACCACTGAAGGCTACCTGTAGTCAAGTCTAAGTGAAGCATTAAGAATAAATCCAGGTCCTCCAGATAGAAGTTTGAGGAAGAAAACCAACCCAACCAGTCACTGTGAAACTAGCTTGACCCTTGGGAAAAATGCACTTGAAAAAGCATTTGTTTGCAAAGAAGTGTCTCCTGAGGTGACTCCTCCTGGTTAAATGGTGTTTAAATGCACCTTTTTAGGCTCTTGCTTAGTCACCTTCCTGCTTCTGTCACCAGATCAAGATCAGAGGATAGCAAACCACCCACCAGTCACTTCACTGAGCTGTAGCAAATATGTAACTGAACTAAGGATGAATACCTTGTGGGACTGGACATGAGATCTGTCCCTGGCAAAGAGAGAAGCCACTCAGGGAAAGCCAACCCAGGCTACTCTCAGCCATTCTGCTAGCATCCAGCACACTATATTGAGCAGTTTAGAGGGCACCTCTCTGCCTAGTTCTTTTAAAATCCACTTACAGAGCTGTTGACCATGAATATATCTAACCCTGTTGATATCGTTTCCTCCTCTCCCCATCTGCTGTGGCAGCAAGTTGCAGGAGTTCAACTGCTGCAGGAGGTAGTACCTCCCTTGGTGTTTTAAACACATCCCTTCTAGTTGCATTCAGTTCCTTCCCAGTCTCCAAATCCACCAACTGAGCAATTCCAGGTTCAGCTGCTCTGCCACCTGTGTTATTTTGGAGGCTTATCAGAATGCCAGCCCAGGCACAGACAGTTCTCTAGGAGGAGCAGATTTAGGTTAGATCATTTTTACCCTATTTATAGTACCAGTCTTGGCACAGGAAAGGTTTGGTTGTCTTATCCATTCTTTAATAGGCTGCAGGAGACCAGCCCATGTCAGCAGGGCATAAAGGCCACTTGTCATCTAGTAAACACTAAGTTGTAAACTGGTAAGACAGTTAGGTCTCCTTTCTTCTTCCTATCTGGGATAAGGGGCTCCAAAATATTTTGGTAGCCCACAAACATGTGTGTAACTAGAATGCTGGTTTTTATGCACTAGCAAATCAAGACCAACAGCAATAATTTCAACCTGCCGTTCTTTCAGATGTTCTATGTCCATAATACCTTTTTTTCATGTCTGAGATATTCAAAGATATGAAGCCTCTACCACCCTCAGATGAAAGAAAACCACATTGCAGTCTATTTTTAACATGAACTTCAAAAAAATTTTATCATTACAATGTTGCTACCTATCCGGCCTCAACCTTGGAAAGAGATTCAGCATAATCATGAAAAATTAGTATATGCATAGACCTTATTAAAAAATATGCCACAAGCCAATTAAAGAGCACTAAGATTTCACTACAGCAGCACAGGCATAACATTTAAATCATTTTACTGAACTGTAAATGAATACCTAATAATCTTCACCTCCAAGCATAAATTTACCCAAAGTAATCTACTAGCAGCATGCGAGTAAAATTAAGTCCAGGACTGTATAGCTACCATCAATAGCTTCTTTAATTAAAAGGCTAATTTACATAAAAGGCAAAAGATTCTCTACTCAAGCAGCTTTGACAAAATAATCAACCAGAAGTTAGCTAAAATAAGGAAAAAAAACAAAATAAATTTTTTCTCCAGAATCATATGACCTGCAAAGAATATATACCTCAGCATGAGCAGGCAGATTTTTTGCTATATCTGCATTTGTGACTGTACTGGCATTACTATTTTCCTCAAGATTTCTTCAATACAACAAAACCTTAAGCCAGCTGAATTCTCATTTCTTTTTATTCACAGTGCATCCACCTGAAACATTTACTTTATCTGTAGTTCCTTACAGAGTTGGCTTTTCAAGGACTTATTCAGGTGCAGATAGCCACAGAATCTGCATAGCAAGTGCAAAGCAGCATTTTGACTTTTCTGGTTTCATGTCTATCCTTTTCCAAAATTAGGAATCACACATCATATTGCTGTCATTCTGAAGGACTATCCCAAATACCTCAGGGCAAGAAATACAGGATTTACTATAAAAGAAAGACTTTTTTTCATGACAAAGCAAATCCCACATTTGCATTTCATATTTCTAAATCTTCACTCCTTGCCCTGTGCTACTATTACATACCCAGGACACCTCCAGCTCCTGTTCCACTTTGCTGGCTCTCATGCTCTTTCACACTCCCCAATTCACAGGCAGAACGTGAAGTTCAGCTACCAGGTGAGATAAGGATCCATTCATAGCATAGATAGATCTAATCATTTCTAAATCTTCTCATTTTCTAGCCTCCAAAAAATGCCAATGTATGTCAGTTCCTACACTGTCAAAACAGGATATTCATAGCTTGCATTCTTGTTTGGATATCCAGTCAAGAGCCTTGCTCTCTGCAGTGAAGATCAGAATGTGACTTTTAGTTTCCTATGAAAACTACCACTGGACACTATACCTCTAGATCGTCCTTAAGAGTACAGTCACAGTGTATGATTCATGTGCGGTCAGTGCAAGACATTTGTATGGTGCCTGTCCATCATCTAGGCACTTCACTACAACCTTCAATTAAGACAAGCACTTAAAATCATACGAGTTGCATGAAAATAAAACCAAACATTGATGACATGCCACAATTGTTAATCTAAATGTTTACACCCCTTTGAAATAAAGGCTAAAGCCAGAATCCTTCGAGGGTTTATCCATACCCCTTATTTCAGTGGGATTACTCGTGCTGCATGAAAGGTAACTGAGCATCAGGCAGCACAGATTCAGGACCTAAGTGTGCAACGCAAAGCTATGCAACTACAGTAGCTGTACGCAAGGTAACTTCTTAACCAAAAGAAAACTAGTCTTTGAGTATTTACCTTTATAGTAAGACTATTTATTTATACATCAGCAGGCTGTACATGACAAGAAAAAAAAGCCATGGTAAAGTCACTTGTTTGGCAACTCACACTGCTACATTTTCTTATCTAACAGCAATTCAGAAAAAAAAAATCAGAAAATACACCCAAGTGCAACCAAAGTCACATTTACCACACAAGCCTTGAGATATAGTAATATTTTCTCAACACCACTAACAAGGGTGCTCGGCCCATTCAGCTCAGCTGGGCAGTGTTCTGGTTTTTCCTTACCCACACCCAGAACGAAGGCACAGAAGCCTTTCAAGCCCAACAGCTGCACTTTCCCATAGCTTGCGGGTCACGTGAAAAGCCGTTCGCAGCCGTGCAGGTTCTTTCTGCAGCACCCTGCCTCTGATCCTCTACACACTATTCTCTTGGCCTCAATAACTACTGTGCCTCTGGTTTTGTGCAGATTATCTGAGGATTAATTTTCAAGGAACAGCAGTTCTAAGGGAGAAGGGGTTGAGGCCCAGGTTATATGCATGAGAATACAGGACACTGATTAGACACCTGACTCTTTCCCCCTCTCTCTTCCAAGGCTGTGACAGCTCTAGCCCAGGCACTGATAAGCTCGCTCTTCTGGTATCAGGCCAAACAACAGTGCTGCTCTCTGGGTAGCTTATTTCAGCTCAAAGAATAAGCACCTTTCACCACTACAAAGTGGCTAAATTTGTAGGGCTGTCATCATTACGCTGCTTAAAGCTAGCAAAATCAAGGTACACAAGTCTTTGATGGATACTTAGCTGTATGAAACATTGTTTTACATTCAGAAGGAAAGAGAATGGGTAAAAATGTGTTTTTTTTTTTTTTTTTTTTTTTTTAAGACAAACCAAGTAATCTCAATGACTTCACAGTCTACCATGTCTGTATTTGCTGGAATGCTACTAAACTAATACCAC